TTATCGTCGATCTATCGTTTCTGACCTTAACGGCGACACGCGAATCACTTCCTGGGGGAGTACAATAGCTCGCGACGTGTCGTTGGCAGCCACATAAAGACCCGCGAGAGCACGTTCGCACGATTTTACATACTTGTTCGCGCGTGCGACGCTTTGGAAGGCGTCTTACGGCGCGCGTGTGGAACACACGGTGATTCACGGCGCTTTTGTGCCGGGGCGAGGTCTTACTGTTGGGAGTACGAACGGTCGAGGTTTATTAACCTCCGGCGTGGCAGGAACGACAGGATCGCGAACGATCCTAGCGGGGTATCTCTTCGCCGAGCAAAGAATTTTGTCACAGAAATGTCCCCGGCTGAAAAGCAATTAACTTCACTTGGGAATCTAAATTGTTTGCGCGCGCAATCCACTCGGCAATGCGATTGTCCTCTAGAATTTGCAACACCGTTAGTTCCTGTGTAATTATATATGCCCGTTGAGTACACGTTTAATTGGCAAACGTTAACATCGAAAATTCCCTCGTCTCTTAAAACGTTGGAACAGGGTTGGCAAAATTACACATTTTTTGGATTAAGTCCGTGCCAGTGGTAAAAACCGGCAAGAGTTGGTCTTCTCTATTAAAAACGATAAGATAAGTAGAAAACTTTTAGGAAGCAAAAAAGTATTGTTTCCCGCATAAACTAAAAATTAATATAAAATTTAGTATCTCCGAGGTTCTCGTTTTGCAAATATGTATTAATTTTAATAAAACATTTTTTAAATTAAAGAACTCATTAGGTATATTGGTTTCTTTTTAAAATAGTGATTAATGTCTATAATTTTGTATTTGAAACAAACATCTTTTCTCATAATGACGATAAAAATGACTAATATTAATATAAATATATTTTAATTAAGTGTTAGTTATTTTCATTATTTTTGCCAATTTGTTCCATTCGATAAAGTCCTGGACGGTAAAAAACTGGAATTTACCATGGCTTTTGCCACCCCCTGGATTTTCCAGCCCTGCGTTAGAAGGATATTATTACTAATCATTTTTGAATCTCGATTTATCAGTAATTGATACCGAAGGTAGTAATTGGTCGTAATCTTAATTGATTCGCGATCCTTAATAATTTTACAGCGTGCAATTTTACGCGTAATTATTCGCGTAATGATCAACAGTTTCGCTATCACGACGCGTGTAGCGCGGTAGATTTAATAATTTCAATTAGATTAGACCGTGCTGTGCTTCGACAGCGCGTTCGCCGCTTCATTTCGCAGCTCCGTGAACAGCCATAAATTTCCGCAACGGTTTATCGGCGTAAGCCTGGCCCCGGAGACTAAATTAAGTTACGGGGTTATGAGTAATGGTTACTTGCGCTCTCGTTGGTTACGTCTCATTGGTTTCCTTCCACGCCGCGCGCAAACGTCGCGCTTAACTCGTACGCGTTCCCCCTCGAGCGCAATGAAACGCCTCGCACAGCCGCTCCAATTTACAAACATAGAATGTGCAGCAGCCATTTTCATTAGGCATATTGGTCCGTGGCGACGGCGATACCGAGGGGGGTCAGGGGGCCACGTAATGTGACATCCTGCCGTCGCTTCATCTGCCGACCGTATTACCATATGCGCCACTTCTCGTCTTTTACAAGCGCGGGCTCTTCCTCTCGCCAGTGATGCTCAACGCGGTATCGAAAGGCTTGAGATAGGATTGCGATCGGATGGTACAAAGAGTATTGATAATGACACTCGAGGTAAACGTGTAATACGCATATCAATGACGATCGAAGCTGAAAAGCATCGTTTTTCAGTGTCCAGTACACGAAGAGGGTAAACAGGACGGCTCCGTTTTCAAAAATCAGAGTGTTTAATGTTAATTAAATACCGCCGCTACTTTAATTGGCAATCAACCTTTCTTTATGAATCTCCTGTTCTTTCAGTCCATTTTTCCAGCCCGTAATTATACGATGAAGACAGATAGATAAAGGCCCCGGATGAGGTAGGTGTCTAATATGAGATAGCAGGTCTTCAACATCCAAATTCAATCACAAATGTCTTTTCGCAACCATTACACAATCTAACATTGAATTTTTTATTCAACAGATTTCACTTCAAGAGTAATAAATTCATAGTGGAACCGGCAGTCGATGCCTATTAATGTAGTAGAAACCCCGCTATCTCTTATTAGGATCCTATCTTATAATAGGGGACTTTACTGATGTAAGATAGAACGACTTCTCTTGCCTTGGGGTGGTTTCTCTCGTCCTCAAGATTTTTAAAAGCTGTGACTTCAACCCTTTCGCTTTTCGAATACGCATTAATTATTGAAAAAAAACATTCGTGCCGCTTTTTTCCCCGAGTTTGATCGTACGTCTTCGTAACTGATAAACATTCTCGCCGTCATTTAAGAGTCCTCGACAAAACGACCCGGCCGTTGAATTGTCATTATCGTCGTTCGCGTTCAGTCGTAACTGCCTCTTGGCGGACTCGTCTAATCTCTATATTATCCCTCGGGGGGTATCGAGAGACAAGTCGACGAAACAACCGGATGCCGTTAGATATGATATTTACGAGTGTGCGTCGAGGAGCGCGCGCGTAAACAAGCTCCGCGCGACCTTATGGCGTCCACGTGCAGACGAGAATTACGTTTTCTCGCGGGGTTCCCTAAAACGTGTCCGCGCAGAATGCACCTCGCGATCTTGTCTTTCAACCGCGGCTCTTTCGCGGAAGGCTCGATCTCGATCTGGCGTTAAAGACGCGTGAAAATTAAAATACCCGCCGTTCCGACGCAACGATCTGCGAACTTTATAAACTTGTTCAGTATTTTCTTGACCATGTCTGGAATTTTTAATAATACAGAAAATTTATTGCGAAAAACATTACCTCAGCCAGGGTTTGAACCTGGACTTCCCTACACTCTAGGTGGGCGTCTTACCAATTCGACCACTGAGGCATTTCTGTATTATTAAAAATGCCAGACATGGTCAAGAAAATACTGAAGTTGCTAATTATTGCTGGCGACTTGAAGAATATTCTTATTATAGTTTATAAACTTGGTCCAAGTTCTAGCACCGTGGACACAGGCCTTAACGCGGTTACTTGATAGCTGTTGATTGCAAAAGAATAAAGTCGATGACCCGACTATAAAAATTTACCGAGGGGTAAACCGCTGACCATGTACATCAATGCCTACTAATGCCCAGCATTACTTTATCTCATTATCTTATTTTATCTTATTTTATCTTTTTAGAATTTTTATAACGCCCCAGCAAGACCAAATAACACTTACTAATTCCCATAAATCATGTGATCGTGGGACGACAAGGCGTTTTGGTGAATTTTATCAGAATTTTTTTGAAATTTTACCATACATTTTACTAGTAAAATGTGTACTAAAATTAAAAAATTACTAGTAAAATGTATGATAAAATTTCAATTTGATGACATATTTTTTACTCCTCCCTCGAATCTTTAATTCTACAAATTTACTTTAGCTCGTACTTAAAAGAACCTACTTTAATGTAAATTTTGTACTTGCAGTTCGACCGCTTTTACTGTCTTAGATCCTACTATACATATAATAGAATTGAAGGTTCAACATAGGGCCCAAATTTCGACTCGGTTAGTGATTGAGATAATCGTACAGTTTTTACAAATTATGTAATAATTTGATAAGAGGTGGCTGCCGAAAAAGAGTCATTGGTAACAGGGGGGCTTAGCCGTGTTGAACGTGACATCGAAACTCGACGCGTCGCACGTGAGCGGACGCACGCTGCGCGCGAGGCGCGATGTTTGCAGTGTTTGCACGGACGAAATACGATTTTGTTTAAACAAGTCCGGGGACTTTCTAGCCGGCTGACTGTTCCAGGTCGTGCTGCGCGCGGTCGCTTCTTTTTCCAACGTAACCCAAATACCTCTCGACGAGTCATCTCTCGCGTCAACTCTGTTTGAGCAGCGTGGAGGTTCAACGAACTGTCATTAAAACGAGCACCCGGTTAGCTGACACGGTCGTTTGAGCAGATGTTCGGCGGAAAACGAGCGCTGAGCAAACGGAAAGAGATTAAAGGGATGAAATAACACTATCGCCGGTGATGTATGTGCTGATTGTAGTCAAATTGGAGGCAATAAAAGCGGAGCGTTCCGACGAAAATGGAAGCGAGGAGTCGGTTACCAATCTTTCTCCTCCTACTTTGATATTGTTTAACTCTCTTTCGACATTAAATATCGACGACTCGTATGTAGAATTTGTAACGTTCTTAAAAATAGTTTATCAGCCTCTTGTAGAAATGAAAAAGGAAATGGAATACCCATTTTAAAGCTCTGTTGTTTAATTCATATATTGCGACCGGACTGCTCTCCTGTCATCGTCGTTCCCCGTTGACGTACAAGGGCGTGCGCGTCCCGAATCTCTCTTTAGCGGCGCACTCATCTAAATCAATAACGTGATATTGCATTAAGGCCTTTTTTCTCGGGGGATGACGGTCATCAGGTGCCATCTGCCATTTCAATGCTCCGCGGTAAATCCAGGATTCTGATGCCGCGTCAAGTCTCGCATCTGAATAACGTGTGTGTGTGTATATACGCGCGATGTAAGAGAAGGCGGCGTGTGTGTGTGTGTGTGTGTACGAGAAAGTGTTGAATAGCGTGAAATGAAATATCGCGTTTTACGCGCATACACCCCGGGCGACAGAAATAAAATATCGACATTCGTTACAAGCGTCGTGAAACATTGATGCACGCGTGGCACACATTTTACATTGCGTGTATTGTGAATCGTAATCCAGGACGCCTTGAGTCACATTATGATACTAGAAGGCGTATACCCGTGATTCGATAAATAATAACTTTAAGGGAGAGAGAGCGAGGGGAAAATATATTTATAAAAATTTAATAAAAGTGTATTCTCGTAGCCACTGAAATTGATAAAAACGCGCGCGCGATTCGTCTTCCTGCCAATCTCGCCACTGTTACATCTCTGTCACCGCGCCAGACGTTGTAGAGTGATTTCTTTCTGCTTTCAGCATGCGAACAACGTGCGGAAATATGCGACGGACTACGTGGCCCGGCGTCAGGCCCGCAAGATGCCGATGACACGCTCGATAACTTCCCTGGCGCTGCCGATGAGCCAGGTGGGCGACGTGCCCTACCTGCCGAACGCCAAGGCCGGCACCTTCTTCGCCCGCGACAACGTCTCTAACTTCATCGATTGGTGCCGCAACAGCCTCGGCATCATCGAATGCCTGCTCTTCGAGACCGAGGATCTGATAATGCGTAAGAACGAGCGGCACGTGATACTGTGCCTGCTGGAGGTGGCGCGTCGCGGCGCCAAGTTCGGCATGCTCGCGCCGTTGCTCGTGCAGATGGAGAGGCAGATCGACCGCGAGATCGCCGCCGAGAACAAAGCGGCGAACGGCGCCGGCAACGAGGAGAGCGATGACGAGTACGAGGAGGAACCCTGCCTCATATACGGGCCGCAGCCGCAGATCGTCACGAACGATCTCAAGACTCTCCACGAGTTGGTGAGTCAAAATATCATCTTGCTACTTGAATTTTATATATATATACATATATAGGTCTCGGCGCGAGGAATGACGTTTCTACGCTTCCGTTGACCGCTGGGTAAAAGGTACGCGCGGTGGAAAAAGAGCACCATTTATACAGGGTGTTATGTAATACCGTCTCACCTCTTATTTACGGATAGAGATTAGATCTGAGTCTTGAATCTTGAAAAGTCCTGTACCATTTTGCAATTTTCGCAATGGTTCTTAGCCTGGCCTGCCGCCCAATTCAAGCGAGATGCGGCGATCCCGCGATCGGCGTTGCTAGGCGCGCGGAGAGTTGTCTGTGACACACGGCAACGGCTACGCATAATAAAAGGGGCCCGAATTTTTTTTACTTGGTCTTCTCCCCGTAAACTTTGAACGGATCAGCTTTCGAATTTTCCGAATTAGATCCCTTTTCTTCTGAAATCGCTTCGAAATCCGGAATAACGTGTTTGCGATGATCCTCTCGGAATCTCTCGGTAGCCTGGAAGTTCTTTCTCAGTGATTCACGGCGTCGATTCCGAATCGCGCGTTTCGTCGCGTATCATTGCCAACGACGACCGTAACGTGCCGCGGCTATGAAAATAACTCGCGACCCTTCGGTCCATCCGGATGTATTTATGGCGGTCCTAAGCCGCCGACGTCGAGCCGTGAATATCGCGGCGATCGGAAATAGGAGAAGGGACGTCGCGGTGCTTAAATTTAATGGAGTGTCGATAGTTTTGCCCGTTCGGTGTCGGGCGACGCGAGATCGATACTGCACTTTGCGATGATATCGTAAAGGATAGTCAAGAAGGATGGTTTCCGGCACTTTAGCGAGATCTTAGAAGCGCGACTATTTAAACGAATTTTACTTCAAGATTACAATCGTTACGGTCCTGACACCAATTACTTCCGATTATTAGTTTTGTGCTTTGGTCGCGACAACGCTATGAGTCACGCAAAAGTTTGTAAAAAAAAAAAGAAAACAGTCATTGGCTCGTATTCTGAACCTTCTTTTATCAATAAAAGCGCCTCTAAGGGCCAATTTCACAAACGTCGGTAATTATATAATCATTTTCTATTTAGTTATCTAAGACGAGACAGAGAGAATCAATTAACTCTCTTTCGGTTAAC